GGCTTTCCATGTAAGGGTTCTCAATGCTTTCAATTGGCGATGTTTCATTTAAAGTCATCTCACATTCAGCGAATTAGTACACCAAATTTAACGTGTAAGGCATAAAGAGTCACTCTTTGTGAGCATTCAGACACTCGAATAGTCCCTCTTACATATAAAGCAGAACGAGGATGTTAAGGATTATTGGGAGGAGTAGTCCCACATTGGCTAATTAAAGGGATGATCATGGGTTTAGAGGTAAGAAACACCATCTTCATTGGTGTGAGACTTGCTAGGGAATCAAAAAGCAAAGTTAGGAGAGTTTTATGCTAAAAGTGGACAATGTCGATAGAATGGTAAGTGTTGAATAAAGAAGTTGTGATGCTATCACCTAAAATAATTACTACCTACCCAACCCTCTACGGCAGGAATATTATCACCTTTAAACATGCAAATGATATGCGATGAATCAATTCAAAGGTTACCGACCTATAATTAATTATCAATATTCACACTATATAAAAACTATGACCTGCCGGATTTGAATCGCGACTTAAGGATGGCTTTGGGATTCTTCAACCACTACAATCCTCCGCTCTATCAACTAAGCTAAGGCCGAACTTGTATAAGAATCATATACCATAATATAAACAAAATTGATAAAATTAATATATATAGAAAAAAAAACTAAATTAATAAAAATATCGGTAAGCGGTTAACAATTTCAATAATACATATATATTAACCTTTCAAAAACTCCAACATAATTTTGGTCATGGCATTTATACAACATTTGGAACCTCCCATTGAAATTTTTAGCTTTCATAAAGAACTTGATTTGTATTGGGTTTTACAATTTGAAACCCATTTAGATCCAAACATATGATTTCTTAAAGTGCCTTCAATGTGTTTGAATACATATGCGTAGGTGCCAAATTCTCATACATATGATAATACAAGAGCTTTAATCCATTCTTGAAGAATTTGTGCAAGAACCGAGGTAAGAAGGTGAAGGTAGATAGCTTGTAGCTCGCCCTAAGAATTTTTTCAAGAAACTGGTTTGACACACACATAGGCTTTGGGCCATGTGTCGGGTGCTTGTCCTTCGAGACCTGCTTTGTGTTGGATGAACACAACTCTCTACAATGGTATGATATTGTCCACTTCGAGCACAAGCTCTCATGATTTTTCTTTGGACTTCCCCAAAAGGTCTCAAATCAATGGAGATAGTATTCCTTGATTATAAACCCATGATCATTCCCTAAATTAGCCGATGTGAGACTTTTATCCAACACCTTCCCTCGAACAAAGTACGCCTCCCCTCAGTCGAATCTCGACTCTTTTTTCTTTTGGAGTCCTTTGTTCGACATTTGAGGATTCTATTGACATATCTAAGTTTAAGGCATGACTCTGATACTATGTTAGAATGAACACAACTCTCCACAATGGTATGATAAACCACTTTGAGCATAAGCTCTTATGGTTTTACTTTAGAGGAAACAAACTGAGAACGTGCCAAAAATCTGGACTCTGTCATGACCCATTTGAACTTCGTTAGTTGACAAGGACGTCAACAAATTAGGCGGGCGAGGATCTCATGGTCATGTTTGTCCAAGACATATTACCCATTGCCGCATGCTCCTGACATGCCTAAGCCTTTCTACTTGCTTTCATGTTGTATTACTTTCTTATTACATTTTAGGTTGTATGACCATTCGACGAAATTGTGTTTACTTCCTTCCGACCGCCTTAAAATGTACCGTACCGGGACCAAGTAATCATCAAACCTCTCTAGACCAAGTATTGTAATTGTTCTTAACTTTCACAATGCTTTCTTTCAACTCGCTTTCAATGATTTTTCTCGTCCACATTTACTTTCTCAAAACGTGGCTCGTAGCTCGACATAAATAAGTGATATTCGATAATAATTCAAATCATTACAACAAAAATAACTTGATAAAAACATTTTAAACTATACGAGTTCAATTAATAAAAGTAAAACGTATATAAATTTCACTGAACAGCTAACGCTTATGTCTCTGCTGTACCTTCTGTATACACGATAAAATCCCCATTGAAACAACACCAATGCCAAGAGTAAGTGGCAGAACAGCGGCGACCCGGGGCATCATCGGCTCCGGCGTCAAAGCTTTTACCGACGACACATAAGACGAGAGCATGCCGATTAATGTGAAGAACAAAGTGAAGTACAGAGAGTTCCTTGGAAACTGAGGGTGTGTTGGCAGGCAACTCATTCAATAGCGCTATAAATTGCAACATTGAAACTATCATGCACACTGTTACGCCAACGATGAAATTGGTGAACTCAGTTGGGAATTTTGTGGGCATTATCGATGTACATAACTTAGGAACACACACAAAATTTTGTCACAAAAAAAATTAGGTTTCCATGGTGTTAAGAATAAGAAATAGAATTGGGATCGAAAGTATGATCTTCGTGATTACAAACGTTTAAATACAATATAAACTATCGACTAATACAAGAAAAATATAGGATACAAGCTATCAACTAATACAAGTAAAATATATAACTCCTAGATTTTGTAAATAAGATAAAATATACTATTAATCAAATCCTAAGATAAAATATACCACTAACAACTCCAACAATAAAGAAAAAATATTAATGGATATCTAACATATGTTCCATAACTAATTATTAAAATATATTCTCCAAATATCATATCTTAATACTCCCCTCAAGTTGGAGAGGGTATGTCAATCACACCCAACGTGTCCTTCAAAAGATCAAACTGATGCATTCCCAAATCTTTAGTGAAAACATCTGCCAATTGCATTTTAGTCGAAACATAACACGGTTTCATGATTCCGGCTTGTAACTTTTCTCGAACTATATGGCAATCTATTTCAATGTGTTTCGTACATTCGTGAAAAACTGGATTGGCTGCTGTATGTAATGCTGCTTGATTATCACAATATAATAATGCTGGTTCGGACAGTGGAACATTCAAGTCTTGAAGAATGTGTATCTTAACCAAGTTAACTCTAAACAAGTAATTGTCAAAACTCGATACTAGGCTTCGGCTGATGATTTGGACAAATTAGTTTAGACTGCTAAGAAATAATTGAATTTCCGAGGAAAATGCAGAACCCAGAAATAGACCGTCTTGATGTATCTCAGAACCGGAAGAGCTGCCTTCCAATGTGGTTTTCTTGGTTCATGCATAAATTGACTAAGCATACGAACTGAATAAACTATGTCAGGCCTAGTAACGGTTAAATATATTAATCTGTCAATCAACCGTCTGTATTTACTTTCATCATCCAACACCTCCCCTCGAGCAAAGTACGCCTCCCCTTAATCGAGTCTCGACTCGACTCCTTTTTTTTTTGGAGTCTTAGTCATTTATTACTATGCCTTCACCCTTCAAGGAGTCGGTTAAATATATTAATTTGCCAATCAACCGTCTTGTATTTACTTTCATCATCCAACACCTCCCCTAGAGCAAAGTACGCCTCCCCTTAATCGAGTCTCGACTCGACTCCTTTTTCTTTTGGAGTCTTAGTCATTTTTTACTATGCCTTCACCCTTCAAGGAGNGTGAGTTGTCTTTCTACTCAACATATCGACCACTATGTTAGCTTTACATGGGTGATAAAGGATCTTTATATCATAATCCTTCACAAACTCCAACTATCTCCTTTGTCCCATGTTCAACTCTTTCTACTCGAATAAGATACTTGAGCCTCTTATGGTTTTACTACCTGTACCTTTTCACCATACAAGTAACGTCACCATATTTTTAACGTGAACACCACAGTTGCTAACTCCAAATCGAGGGTTAGGTAGTTACGCTCATATTTCTTAAGCTATTAGGAGCCATATACAATCACTTCTCCATTAACACCAACACGCAACCCCAATCCTTTTCTCGAGGCATCGTTGTACACCGTGCTTGAACCACAAAATAGTGCTAGCATTAGCGCATACACCCGAAACTCCTTAAGCTCTTGAAAAATCTATTCATGTGTCATAGTCCAAAGAAAGACTTACCCTTCTTAGTTAACTTTGTCAAGGTTTGATAAGTCCTAAAAAGAAACCTTCCGTACTAGTTCGCTAACTCCAAAAAACTTCTAAGTTCTCGAACGGAGGATGGTCTGGATTATCTCATGATTGCCTCTATCCGACCCACAAAATCCCCAGCTGAGTTACCTCATGATTGCCTCTAACAAACTTGCAGAAAATTGTGGGCGTCTCGGTTATCTCATGATTGCCCCAAAATGTTCCATGATTACTAACTTCTCAACATCCCATGATTTTAACCAAGTCGAGCTTGTTGACTTACTAACTTCTCAATGCATGATTCCCACATCAATGATTTTAACCAAGTCGAGTTTATCGACTCACATTCCTTACGTCAAAACACACAATCATGGAAAGGACTACTTTTCGTGAGGCCAACAAAAAATATTGGCAAAACAAATATTTGTCGACGTATTAGCACTATCCATGAACTATATATTCTTTAGGTTATTTATTAAATATTATCGTCTCGCATGAAAACTATGGTTCAATATTAAATAAATAACTTTGATTTTTTTTGTAAAATAAATATTATTAGTTGAAGCCATAATCTTACTGAGAAGAGAGTAAAGTTATGACTCTCATGTGTAGTCCGTAAAGGTTAACAAGAGAGTGGCACACGGAGGAAGACGGTGTATTGTCTAAAAAAGTGCATAATAACTAAGTCAAAATTGTGATTGGGTTTAGAGAGAAAAAAGCTTACCCTATTCGTCTATTTTTGTTAGTGTTTCTTTTAATAGGGTTTTACTTAAAATTCGAACGTGAAGGCTATTAAAAGGAATATATGTGAGTGTATAAATATGTGAACCCTNATTTTTGTTAGTGTTTCTTTTAATAGGGTTTTACTTAAAATTCTAACGTGAAGGCTATTAAAAGGAATATATGTGAGTGTATAAATATGTGAACCCTCCCGATGAATTAATTGAGCAAAACAGACAGAAAAATCAAAATAAAAAATGGCATCTTCTAGTTTTCTTGCAGTCTTTAGGATTGTCCTTTTAGTGCTGTTCTTCAATGGAATGGTGCCCATGCATGCGGCTTCCCAAGACGACATCCTTTCCACCATCTGCAAGAAAACTAGAAACCCTTCTTTTTGCTTTAACGTGTTGAAATCTGCTGGCACTACAGACCTAAAACGGCTGGCCACCTTCACCCTCAACCTCGCCCACGACAAGGTTGCTCAAACCCGTGCCCTCGCCCAGTCCCTGGCGTCCAAGGCATCCGATCCCAAGCTTAAGGAGCGATATGCCACCTGTGTTGAACAGTACGGCGAAGCCGCCGACGACATCGAGGATGGGAAGAAGGACTTGGGGGAAGGTGACTACAATGGCGTCAACATAAAGGCGTCTGCAGCCATGACGGAGGCCGGCGACTGTCAAGACAAC